AGGATTCTGTTGTTTGGCCTAATTTAGTGCCTCATGCAAAGGACGTCCATTAATACACATCCTGCTGGTTACTATGCACAATCAAATTTAAATGTGATGTTCACTGCCCGTCCTCCAAGCTTAAATACACTAGGGGTGATATGATAGGGGAGACTAGAAACTAAGGAGACCTAAATAGTTTCATTTGTACAGTCTCATAGTTGAGCTGTAAATTCTGCTGGATATAGTGAAGGCATAGAAGGCTCCAAAGAATCAAGTTTAGGGAGAAAGGGATAGGAGGGGACGTAAGCCAAAGAATATTCAAAGATTCTACTCAAAGCTATTTTAGGACAAGCAGATCAGGCTGTTCGGGCTCCATTCTGTACAGTGTGCATCATTGGCAGCAGCCAGGTGATACCGGGCTGCAGTACAGCTCAGACGCCCAGGTCTGCGCCTCCTGAAAGCCCAATGAAGACTTCACACAAGTTACTACCGCTGCCTACTCCAGGCAGACAGGAGAGGAAACATTCAGAGGTAGTGTGCATGTGTGTTTTAATCACAGCAAGTGACAGATGTCCCTTCCTGGTGGGAAGATAGAGACTTTGCCCCTGCCTTCATTGTTCTGTCCTTCCCTCCAGAACACACACCACTGGCTTAAACCTTCCCTGGCTCTGCTTTACGGGGAATACTGTTGTGGTGCTCATGCAGACACCCCGTCTGCACAGGGTCATAGCAGGGCTGGTCTTGGCATGGTGGCCACAACACTGCTGTCACTTAGCTATGAGGAAGAGATGGGTGAGCCTTGCTCAAGAGGAAGGTTCACCCCTACCCGCTGCTCTTCCTCAATGGTAGGTTTATCCATGGACATGAGTACTCAGTTTTTCACATCTAGCTTTTAGAGGGTTGGGGGTATAAAGATAAAATCCAAACTCCTTGGATGTCATTTTGTAAAGATAATCCCTTTTCCTGGAGCTCCTGAGCCCCTGCGGTGTGAGGGCCAAGGCGCCCCACAGCAGGAGTGGCAGACATATATCTGCCCTCCCAGTGGCAAAGGGTAATGCGGATTAGCAGACAGATCTGAGGCCAGGAAAAGACAGGAAAGCTGGATGCCTGGACCACGCACCAGCGCTGAGCCTTGCATTTGTGGCAGGACTCTCACGCATTTGGCTTTGCAGTTTGAAGAGGAGCTGAAATTAAATTGCCTGGTGTTCTCTTGCCCCTGATGCAAATGATGGATGCAAACGATGATTGGCAGCCAATGTGAAGAAGACCTGTCTCCTGGAGGAGATAAAGTCCAGCAGCCAAGCAGCATGATGGCTTTTTTCAACAGTCAGGAACATAGCAACTTCGTGCTTGATCTCCTAAGCAGGACAATTTTCTTTAACCCCGGCGTTCTTTGAAATCTCAGTGACAAGGTGATATTGAGCAAAAAGATGTCCAGTTTGAATGTCCTGCTGTCGCAGATGGGTAGTTTTTGGCTAGCTGATTTCAAAAGTGAATGAAATCTTTCATTATTCTTTCTAATTAGTGATGGTGTTTTAACTTACAAGCCTATGGCTAATTACACAATTGCCTATTAAAGACAGCTGACCTCATTTGTTGACAACAGTGAAGATCAAAGAAAAGAAGAAGGGCTAGGGAAAACACCTGTGAATTGCTCCGATGAGGACAGTGATGCTGAGCATCCATCGGAGGAATGTCCTCTGAGTCTGTTATAGCTTGTTGGTGGCCTTGTCTTAAGAGGAAACACTCAGGCCTGTCACTGCAATAACCCAAGGACTTGGCTGCAAGAGAACGCAGGCAGCTCTGGCAAGATGTAGGTGGGAACGGTTCAGCACGCCATCTCTTCCGTGACGGGGAACTTAAGAACCAGGGCACATGGTGGAGCAAACACTGTCCCAAGGCTTGAGGGAGCTGGACATGTCCCTATTCCAGCAGCTTTGAGATTAGTCACGTTAGTCATTCCATGTCACACCCAGACTAAACAGAAGCGATCTGTTCATGAGGTGGGGGTCATACAACATGACCATGGTAGAACCTGATTATGTCAACAGATCTTTTAGCTTTATTTTTTTTTTGGCAGCTGGCTGGCATGGGGATCTGAATCTGTGATCTTGGTGTTATAAGGCTGTGCTTTAACCAGCTGAGCTAACCGTTCATGAGGTGGGGGTCATACAACATGACCATGGTGGAACCTGATTATGTCAACAGATCTTTTAGCTGTATTTTTTTTTTGGCAGCTGGCTGGTATGGGGATCTGAATCTGTGATCTTGGTGTTATAAGGCTGTGCTTTAACCAGCTGAGCTAACCAGCCAGCCCTCAATAAATCTTTTAGCCAGTGTGGTCTACTCATGACATGGGTATCACCACCCCTAAGCCTGGTGTCTTTGCACTGACACCATATGCTCTCTGGTGATTTTCCTTCACTGGGTTCAAGGTCAACACTGTGTAGGGTCAGAACCATGCCAGATTGGCTGTGTCAGGGAAAAGCTGCATGAGGGGCCAAATGTCTCTTGGCAGCACTCAGCGATGGGAACAGGTCTGCAGTATTCTGGAAGTTTTGTGGGACCCTAGTTTCATTGTGAGCAAAATAGAAAATATCCCTTTGAAGGAGAGCCATCTGTGAGTACGTCTTTACTGTTCCATGGGAAACATGCTTTTTCATTCTGATAACATTTGTGTGTATGCTCTTCATCTTCCAATGGTTTGACAGAAGAGAAATTTTAAAAAACAAAAAATGTGGCTTGTATTCACTCAGCAGAGTTAAGTACCTCCTCTCTTCTGTGCACTGGGAGAGATGTAGCAAATCCTGTGGAAATGAGAGCAGCCGCGTCCCATGTGATAGGGATGGGTACCGTCTCAGTCTGCAGAGTAAATGCCCCACAGGGCTCAGTCTAGCTGTGACACTGGGGGGATGGGGACAGCTTACACTTCTAGTCTGATCTTATAGGTCAAGCGCCATATTAACAGAGAATCTGTTTTTAAACCTTTATTTGAATATACTTCTGTAGTATCTCAGTGCTCAGTTTTAAAAATGATATATAACCTAAAATAGCATGTCCTTGCTATATTTTTCCCTTTTTCCTGTGCCAAGTAATAACCCGTTTATGTACGTATATCACCATTTTAATTAAAAGAGTCTTAGACTTGGCCTTAACATTTTAACAAACATAAAGTTTGATGAAAACAGGGACTGACTGAAATAAGCCTGAGAAGATATTCAGCAGTTACAGGAAGTTGGCTATTTTTCAAGTCAGATTTGAGTGTCACCCAGTATACTTTGCTGAATCTCTCTCCACGACACTCTTGGATGTTTTCCTAGCTTACCACCACGCTCTCAGGTAAAGTCTTCCCTCATGGCTGTTTGTCCTTTATTAAGCCAACAGGGAAGAAAAAGATACAGCACTGGATTTATCCAGTTTCTGTTGGGTTGGGGAAGGAAAAGTAACCAATGAGCACTTTGCAGGTGGCAAGGTTTTCAGCGCCACCTGGTGGCTAGATGGAGCATCTGCCTAACTGGTGGGCAAAGGTGTTATGTTCTGAGATGCTCTGAGGTGTTCTCCAAGTTTGGGGAAGAAAGAAGAGAAAAGCATGGGTGTTCTGCAGCTTTGGTAAAATCTTTTTAACACTTCTACATGTGCACTCTTGACGCAATTCTCCTCATCCTTGCTTTTCAGGTTGACGCTGCTGTGACCCCTGAGGAGCGCCACCTCTCCAAGATGCAGCAGAACGGCTATGAAAACCCAACTTACAAGTTCTTTGAGCAGATGCAGAACTAAACCACTGCCACAGCAGCCTCCGAAGTTGGACAGCAAAACCATTGCTTCACTACCCATCGGTGTTCATTTATAGGATAATGTGGAAAGAAACAAAACCTTCTGTTTTATTTTCTCATATCGCCTTTTGACAGCTGTGCTGTAACACAAGTAGATGCCTGAACTTGAATTAATATACAGATCAGTAATGTCTCTCTCTCTTTACATTTTGGTCTCTACACTACATTATTAATGGGTTTTGTGTACTGTAAAGAATTTAGCTGTATCAAACTAGTGCATGAATAGATCCTCTCCTGATTATTTATCACATAGCCCTTAGCCAGTTGTATATTATTCTTGTGGTTTGTGACCCAATTAAGTCCTACTTGAAATACGCTTTAAGAATCGATGAGGGATGCTTCGTGTGAACATGGGAGTTTAGCTGCTTTCTCTTGCCTAAGTATTTCTTTCCTGATCACTATGCATTTTAAAGTTAAACATTTTTAACTATTTCAAATGATTTTGAGAAATTTTTTTCCATGATTGCATTTTACTGTACAGATTGCTGCTTCTGCTATATTTGTGATATAGGATTTAAGAGGATACACGTTTATTTCTTTGTGCCTGTTTTATGTGCACACATTAGGCATTGAGAATTCAAACTTTTTTTGTCCATATATCTTTGGATCTTTAATAAAAGAATCCCTGTTCGTTGCAAGCACTTTTATGGGTGGTGGGGGGAAGGGAGTGCTCTGCTGGTCTCAAATTACCAAGAATTCCCAAAAAAAATTTTCTGCAGGATGATTGTACAGAATCATTGCTTATGACATGAGCGCTTTCTACACTGTATTCCATAAATAAATTAAATAAAATAACCTTGGGCAAGACTTTTCTTTGAAGAATGACTACAGACATTAAATAGTCAAAGTAATTTTGGGTGGTGGGAAAAAAAGGCAGATTCAATTTCCTTTAACCAGTCTAGAACATTTTATTTATGATATCAGAAGAAGATGAAAACAGAAGGGGCAAAATAAGGGAGTCAGGAAGGCATGACTAGACAAGCCATTCTTTCAGATTTGTCTTCAATTTGTATAAAAGTGTTTTCTTGTAAATAAATACATTCTTGGAGGAGTGCCATTGTGCTGGTGTGAGTAATTCTATGGTAAAATCTTGATTATTTAGTGAGTGATCTAAAGACTAGTGAGAAATTTTCTAATGTTGGGCATTTATGTTTACTGTGACTGAGCTGAAGCCCGAGTAGGAAATTGGGGCCAACATGCATCTCCCAGTGCTAGTAAAATGTTTCATACAGGGCCGGCTCGGTGGCGCACTGGATAAGTGCACCGCTTGGGAAGCGCAGAGGTGCTCCCGCCCGAGGGTTCAGATCCCACATACAGACCGGTTCCCGCTCACTGGCTGAGCGAGGCGCGGGAGCAACACCGAGGGTTGCAATCCCGTTGCCGGTCCCTGGTCCGGTACGGGGGCAACACTTGAGGGTTGCGATCCGTTGCTGGACACGGAAAAAAGACAAAAAAAAAAAATGTTTCATAGACCTAATTAACAGTTTTTATTTGTTCTAAAATACTGTGCTGCCATATCTTGGTGCTCAAGTTTGTCCCAAGTGAGAGACAAAGAGAAAAGTTCTAGGGAAATAAAAATTAAAACCAGCTGATAATCAGTAATGTCTAAGGCAGTTTTTTTAAAACTGGGCACTATTGACATATTGTAAGGAATAATTCTTTGTTGTGGGGAACTATTCTGAGCATTGTAGGGTATTTATTTAGCAGCATCTACCTACTAGCAATCAAAAATGTCTCCAGACATTGTCCCTTATGAGAACAAAGTCACTCCCATTTGAGAACCACTGTTCTATAGTTTAAAATAATGTCATATGTACAAAATTTGTAGTTGGGGAAGCCTATCTATCCTAGTTTAGGCTGCTGTTAACAGAATACCATATACTGGGTGACAAACAACGAACATTTATTTGTCACAGTTCTGGAGGCTGGAAGTATGAGATCAGAGTGTCACCATGGCCAGGTCCTAGGGAGGGTCCTCTTCCTAGTTAACAGATGGCTGCCCCCTTCCGGATCCTCACAAGGTGCTGTTGGCATAACTGCTATGTTTGCTCTCAATCCTGTCCTATCTTACATTATAGTTAGAGCGTACTGTATTTACTGTGTCTCTCTTGGAGGCAGGGGGCTCTCTCGCATTTTTCTTTTTTGGTTTCTGAGAAGCTTAGTATTTTTATTGTAGTTGT